AGTCAAATCATAAAAGGGATCCCAGGCTGTCTGGTCTCTTAGAGAGTATTTTCTTGGATGGTGGCGCTCCTTGGAAAGGACCCAGAAATCCTCTGGTCCAGGCTTCCCTTTCTTCTTCTCTCTGAATCAGCTCGGCTGCTCAGCTTCCTACCTTTTGATTCAGCATTCTCGGTGCTGGCAGTTGACGTTCAAGCTGATTCATGTCTAAGTGAGCATTTTCTTCAGACAGCTGTCTCCTCTCTCGGCGGCACAAGGAGCCAGCTTTGAGGGCAGTGGGCTTGGGGAAAGCAGCTTTTTCATTATCTGTTTCAAAAGAAGGCTGTTTTCATAAACACGCCTGGCCCGTGTTCCTTTTCTCTCCCACTTGCCTCCCTTCCGTGCTCTCATGGCCCTGTGGTTGGTCAGTCAGAGACCACTTTATTCTGAGCCCTGTTTTGTTTTCTTTTGTTTTTCCTTCCTCTTCAAACTGTGTTCACAGCTGGCCTCCTTCCTTACGCTTAAGCCTTCCAATTCCATTGTCTGGTGGCAGAGCAGTCAGGTTGAGAGCTAGCCTCTGTCATCAGATGAATTGGAAAAAACGCAGTGGCATGATTAAAATATAAATCATTTAAACGTAAAACCATCCAGTCTGCTCAATAATCTACTGCACTTAAGGGCTAAACATCTTGAATTTAATAATATACTTATTAAGGATTCACTTAAGTATGGAGTTATAATTATGCCTTTTTAATGCTCTGTCAGCTCCTTGCCACTCTAGGTTTTTCAAAGGCACTCCTAATTTCTTATAATTATTTTAATGTGGTAATTTCTGAATAATTTTTACTCATTTCTTAAAGATGTGATTATGAAACAGCTTTTTGGTCCTAGGGGTGCATTTTTCTGAAGACAAATATGATACTGATTTTCATACCTCTCAAGATGTGTGTGAATGCGCGGAATCCAAAGCCCTCATTCATTTGCTTATTCAGCAAATCATTATTGAGTGCCAACTCTGAGAGCAAGCTCAGGACCAAGCCTGAAGAACTCGTATCTTGATTTTTTTTTTAGGATTTAGTACCTAGTCTTTCCCTTTAATCTTTAGCAGAGGATGTTGTGGGTTGGCTGAACTCAGAGAAGCCTCAACCTGAATACTTTTAAAATTTTACCTTTTGTGTCTTAGACTGCTTGGAGAATCAAAAGAAAGATGGAAACTCTTCCAACCAAATGCAGATACCCAAATATGCATGCAATGTGGTGCATCATTTCCATGGTCTGGTGGCCCCCTGGAGCCCATGGGGATCCAGAGACCCCAGGATGAGGCCTCTGCTGCAGGGACTGTTTCTTTTTGGCTGCTGTGTGTGTTTAGAGAGGTCCCGGAAGATGATTCTGAGTGGGTCATTTAGGTGGTGGAGGTTCCTAAAGGCCAAGCCAAGAAATTAGAACCTTCTATTGTAAGTTGTGGGAAGCCATTGAAAGTTTTTGAGAAAACAGGCTTCTAGGAACAGTATAAAATAGAGGTTTGAAGGCAGGAGACTGGGGTTGGGAATGTAGGTTTGGAGACTTGCAAAATGTGGACAAGCAACAGCAAGGTTGTAAACCAAGGTAAGAAATGGGGAAATGGATGTGACAGCGATCGTGATCTTGGGAGTCAGATCACAAGACTGTTTTGACTTTGCTTCCGTCCTGGACTCAAAGCCTCCTTGGTACCGTTTCCGGTTGTCACTACCTGTGTGGCTGTACCCAGCTACTGAGCATTGCTGAGGAAGCACCAACTCAAGCTGCTGAGAGCTTTTAGAGAGAATAATTTCCAAATGCGATGTTGCTCCGGAGGCTGTTGACTTGCTCCATTTGGCTTCCTTCTCATTCCTCATTGTAGCTGCGTTGTTTTTTTTTTTTTTCTTACTCTCCTCAGCCACTCTGCAGCCCAAACTTACTTAAAGTCTTCTCGATCTTTATCTTCTTCCCTTGAGCCTCTAATAATCCACTTTATCCACTGCTGTTAGATTAATCTCCCTGAGGCCCATATCTGATCTTTGACATTCGTGTTCAGAGACCTCAGTACAAACTTTCAATAACTCAGAACAAAGTCTTCCAGAGACTAACACTTTTATATGTATTTTTGACCCACCTACTCTTCTCCTCCCTAAAAACCCTGTTTTATGGGTTTCTCAAACTCTTTCCTATATCTTTAACCTCTTACTCTCCACTAGCTCTTGCAGCTCAGCCTACCAACCAGATGAAGTCTCCCATCCCCATCCCAGCAAATATCTCTTCAATAGTTCTCTGTTACCTTAAGAAATAAAATCCCAACCCCTAAACAGACTTTGCCAAAAAACTGCACTGTCTCCAAAGCTCTAATCATTGAGTCATCATCCTCTTCTACTTTTTCCTTTTATGGTCAAAGTTATTCAAAAATGTAAAGTTTTCACTATCTACGCGGTCATGAAAAGCGAAAGCTTCAACATTCTTGCTTCCTTGTCCTCCTCATGTTAATCCAGAAAGTCACCAAGACGTGTTGATTCTACTGGCTGGCTAACTCTCATCTTTTCTCCATGCCCCTCCTTGGATTCTAGTCATTACCCCTCAAGACTGTTGCAGTGGCCTCCTTAATACTCTATCTGCCACCTGTTTGTTCACACTCCAGTTCGGGTTTCCATTGCTATTAGAATAACATTCCTAGAAACAAATCTAATTGTGTCCTGATCATGTACCTTCTCAGTCAGGCTAATTAAAATTGAACGCTTCCCCTGCCCAGGCACTCTTAATCTCCATTACCGTGCTCTGTTTTTTCTTTTATTTTTTCCCCAAAGCATGTATCTTCTCACACACGCTACAGTTTACTTAGTTTTCATGTGTGTTGTCTGCTCCCCACCCTACCCTCCCAGTGTGAGCTCGATGAGTTGGTATTTTTGTCTGTTTTGTTTACTGATATAACCAAAGTGTTTGGTATATAGAGAGCACTCAATACATATTTGTTGAATGTAGTAATGTCAATTCCTATTTTCAAATTCTCATCCTTTTCCCTTTGCTTATAGAATACGACCCAAGCACCTAATAAAACCTTCCAAAAGCTTGCACGATCTGGCTCCAGCCTCCTCCAAACCCCCACCTCTCACCCCTGGCTCTCCATCTCACTGATGCTCATGGTTGCCTGGGTTTCTTGCAGTTCCTAGACATGCTATGTTCTTTCAGCCCTCTCTGTTTCTTTTGGGTCTGTGTCTTCTTCCAGGGATCCACTTCTCCCTCTTCCCCAGGTGGTGAGAAAAGTTCCTTCTCTTTAAAAATCTAGCCAAACATTACATCCCCTGGGATCTTCTCCAGCACTAAAGCAGAATTAGTCACTCGCTCCTCTTTGCCTCCATTGATTTTTACCCAGCTGCCCCTACTGCAGCACAGTTTTACACACTGAGACCTCCGTCTCCTCCTCTAGACTCTGTGCTCAGCCACGTCCAGTTCTTCTGTGTATCTGCCCCCGGAGTGATGACGGTGTCTGGCGCTGTACTAAGTGGTCACTAAATACAATGATTGAAAAGAGGAGCTGCTGGTGCATTGAGCCGTGTAGTCAAAGTTTTAAGCGCCGTCACCGTGCAACATGTGCAGATCGTTGCTGCCCTCACACCCTAACCTGTGCTCCCTGTTTCCATGAACAGAGGATGCCACTCCGCTGAAGTGCATATGGGCGTCGGGAACGATCTTCCTCCTCTCCCTCAGGCCACCCAGCCAGTCACTAAGTCCTATTGACTTTGCTTCCCAGACATCTCTCAAAGTTGTCTACTTCCTTTCAGTCTTGCCCAGGAGCCTTTACCAACCCGTCATCCTCTGTCACCTCAGCACACTGCCTGACACACGGTTGAGGTCCTGTATATATATTGTTGAATGAATGAATCTCGTGAGTTAAAACCATTCCGGATGACGGCAGGCAGACGGCCAGGCCACAGGATTGAGTTTCCAAGGATAGCCAACGTTGCAAAGTCCAGGAGATTTTTCTGGAGGACGGTGTTAGAGGCCCAGCAGAGTGGTTTTGGATTGGCCACAGCTCTAAATGTAATTTGACTTTCTGGAAAGGCGAGTCCCTCCCGCCCCCTTGATGTTGCCAGGGAGGTTATTTTCTCTGATTAGTCCTGTCTTAAAAATTCAAGTCAGGGTATGTTTACCTCGCTGGGGTATGTCAATGCTCGTGTACGTTGGGGAAGAGTTTGTTTTATTCCAAGTGATAAAAGAGGTCAGAGTGATTGTGGCCTTTAAGGAAGGGTCCACCGAGCATTATGAGTTTGAAGGTCTCAGTGTCCTCAAATGTGAAGTTATTGGGATTGGTGTAGATGGTTCCTACAGTTCCTCTCCATTTCTAAGAATTTGTTATTATTAAAGCGAAAAGCCAGGAACAGAGAGACCTAGAGGACTTACGGCAGTTGTAAAACCTAATGAAGGGTGAGTGACTCTAAAACGGGTCGGTAACCCTAAGGTGAAGCCGCTCACCAGACTCCAGTGCTTCCGCGGGGCTGGGGAAGGCAGCGCAGGAGGCAGGAGAGTCATTGTGGTGGAGACGTTGGCAATGGGATAGACAGTTGATAAATGTTTTCTCCCTCCTCTTTCCTCAGCAGACGGTGTTATAGTGATTGCATCTGCCAAGTCTTATTTGAGAAAGTGCTGGACCAGTAGTTACACTGACGGTCATTTGACTCTTCTGACACCCTCTCCCTACCTCATGGGGGAGTCTCTGATGTATCAAGGGGGCTCTGCTCTTTTCCTCCCCCGCCTCATCCTCCTTCTCAGCTCTAAGCTAAGGTTGGGCCAATTTGGTTGGGGTGTTACGAATCCCTAGGGTTTGGCTGACTGTCCCCACCCAGCCTTTAGAACACATTGGTATGACTTCCATTCCAAAAGGCAAAAAGAGAAATGGAACCCTGGTCATGTGGTTTCTGTTATCTGTAACCATGGAAAACGTCGGCCATCTGTGAGGCTCCCATTTTAACACTTTTTTTCTCTCTCTTTATTTCCATCTCTTTCTTGGTAAAAACAAGCTGAGGAAGTGGAGAGGCTGGCGGCGATGCGTTCTGACTCCCTCGTCCCAGGTACCCACACCCCACCCATCCGGAGGAGAAGTAAGTTTGCCAACCTGGGAAGGATTTTCAAACCTTGGAAATGGAGGAAGAAGAAAAGCGAAAAGTTCAAACACACATCTGCAGGTAAGGTGATTTTTTTCCTTCATTTCTCGTTGGATGTTTGTTGGCTTCAACTCTGTATGTTAATTAGTGGAGTGTTAATTACCATAGGCTGTCTGAACCAAAGGAAAAAAATCAAGCCCTAGAATTGCTCTTGTGTTTAATAATTCTTGAATGTGATTGAGAATGGCTTTTGGAGCCTGTGTATTTTCTTGTGTCTCAGGTTTTTTTTGGTTGTTTTTTTTTAATTAAAAAACCACCAGTTTTATTTGATCTGTAAATATCTGAATTTAGAACTCCACCTTTTCTGTAATTGAATCCTTTCCTTCTAGCATTGACAGTCTGTTTCTGATTATTCCTCCTTATTTTCACTGCTCCACTGAAAAGCAACACACAGCCGAAAAGAAGTTATATATGGTCTTTGATAGATAAGAATAGGTTATTTCATGAAGGAACAATCTTGAATAAATGATTCTTGGATATGGAGGGAAAACACAGGAGAATGGAAGTGAAGCATCATTGTAATGACAAAAATAACTATGCAGTTCATTGCCTAGTGGCCAACAAAGGAGTTTGGAGAAAGTCAGCCTGGCTAAGGGGTGAAGAGCACAGACTGAAGTCAGACAGCCTGGGTTCAAGTCCCACCCCTGATACTTGATGGTTAGGTGACCTTGCTCAATTTATTTAACTCCATATCTCCATTTCCCCATCTATAGAATAGGGGTAAGAATGGTACCTTGCATGACTTAATATTATAGAGAGTTTATGTGGCACATTATATGGGTATTTTTTAAATAAGTAAGAGTGCGCAGAGGGAAATGCATAGGGAAAGAAGCACAGAGAGTTCTGATTTCACGCTGTTGGGTTTGAGATGAGATGATGGAAGAGCTATGCAGATTCTTTTCTATTGCTTTGTTTTGATTTTGCTAATTATATGCCTGGGTCGTTCCAGGCCTGCTAGAGGGCTTTCATTTCCTTCTTCCTCTACAAAAGCTCATCCAGCTCTCTCCCCTCCTCAGAATCATCATCTCGTCTTTTTCTTGATCCCCTCCCCCGTTTGCTCACCCTCAGACTGTGCGATAGGAGATGACCTGCTTCTTGTATCTGAACTCTCATCCACAGATCTGAGAATTTTAACGCTAATTGCCTTGGGGAATGAACGAGAATAACAAACATAGGAAAGTTGCAGAAAGTCTTGAAATCTTACACAGTTCTCATGGTGGACATCTCCCGTTCATGTCTTCTGACTCGTTCTTTGATGGAAGCCCACATGCCCTGTTGCTATAATCTGTTAATTCCTGAGAGTAGAATGAACCTTTAAATTGTCACCCATCTGACTGAGTCCCTTCACCCGACTGCATTCTCCTCCACCCTCTTGGTCATTGTACAGATGTGTTAAGGTGTAAGAAAACACACAGGTCATCCATGCACTCCTAAACACTGCTGAGAGTGTTATATGCAAGTGACACTCTAAATGATGACTCCTCTGTATCCACCCCTCATGCCAGGGTGAAATCGCAAAGGGCGTTTAGATCATTTCCTTGGAGAGGATAAGTCTAAATGAAATATATTCTTTAGGCAAAGTGAGGTATAAGATACATAAACAAGAAAGAAAAAGGGAATGTTCGGTAAGCACTGGAAAAAAAAAATAACAAAGATTCCTCAAGTTCCCTTACAATGGTCTTCCAGACTTTGCTATGAAAAATGGTTTATAATAATGCAAACGTACATTTAAATAATTGTCACTTACCTGCCTGAACCCCTGAGTGATGGTGTGGTAGGTGCATTTCCTCCTGGCAAATCAAGAGCTTCCCTCAGTCCGTTTGTCAAGGCCGGAAGGCAAAGCTCCATGCTTCTCATGTGAGAAGGCACCTGATCAATTATGCTGCCTCCTTCAAGAAGTTGGAAAACTTGTCCTTTGATAGATGCAAATACAGTGGCATCAAATTACTCACGAATCATTCAAAGTCTGAAAAAATTTTCATTTAAAACTCTTTGGGGAGGAAGAATTAAAACATGTGACAGGCAAAGTTGCAACTTTAATCATTCTTCTTCTTAACTGTTCTTGGCTAGTCCCTGTGATCTCTTTGGGCAAACTGATGAATTTGACAGCTGAATGTGATATTTGTATGTAGTTTGGGTTTTTTTTGAAGAGACATTCAGCTCCTGAATTAGAGGAGGTAGAGGATGTGTGATGGAATGTCTTTCTATCATGATAAATGGATGGGTACGTGATATAAAGACAGTTATTCTAGTTTAAGAAAGTCAGTGGTTTACATTGTAGTATCCTTTGTATTTAACTGGATTCAGAAATATTTTTTATTTATGGAAAGGAGAGACTTTCTGTGCTAGTTCTTAGCCCAAAGGAGAAAAAAATTGACATCATAAGGATGTTTAACATGATGAATTGTATATATATTCGAGTAATACTTTGAAGTGCGAACTTCCGTATGCATGGATAAGAGTCAGATATTAAATATAAAAGAGGATTGCTTGATTGATTGTGGGAATGTTAATTGACCGGCCAATTTTAGCTGGTATGCATGTATTTGTCTTGGATATGTCTGTTAGTAATGTCCTTTCATATGGACAGTAATGTCCACAATTTTAAATACAAAGAATAAGTCTATATATTAAATTTATATTATGCATTTGTATTTAAAATTGTATACTTTTTGAATACACTAAACAACATTAACGCAGTGCATACTTGGCCTATTATTATTTCTACATTGAGTTACATTTATAATTTGCCATAATTAGCTATACTGTACTTTTACTGTAACTCAAGTTCTGGGACATGTGTGTCTGTGTTTATAGCATCTTCAAAGGTACACCCGGAAATATGGCTTTGCAAGTTGTGTAGCAATAAGAAAACTACGTTGGAAACTTATGATCTCAACATTTTCCTCAATTTGTTATCAACGATAATATGAGTTTTCAAAGATAGCTCCCCATGTCTCCTTATGCTCAGACACCCTTCCTATTCCAAGCCAAAGGCTGGTGTCCCCTGAAGGCCTTCAGCATTGAGACCCAGAGACTTAGCTCTGGGAGCTGGTGACAGCGCTGCAAGACAGAGTTCCTCTCAGAAACGTCCCTGCGTCACGTGTCAGTTGGAGGAAGACAGTCATGGACAGAACATAAAATAATGGGTCCTGAAGGAGACAATCTTGACGTGCTTTTCAGCCCATCCTCAGAGGCTCGCCCAGGGCCTGCAGAGCAGTTAGCCTGATGCCCAACTTCTTATGTGGAATCAGCAGCGGGTGTCCACAGCACATCCCGACACCTGCCCCAGGAAGGAAGACGGATGACAGCATCCCCTCCGAAACAGAACAGACAGTGCCTCCCCAAAATAGCCAACTGCAGCCATCTTATCCAAATTCCTTGAAAATGGGAACTGTATTTATAGAAAGGTAGAACTGGCAGGAATAAACTGTGAAGATGCTGCCGAGTTACACTTTTATTTCCTCTTGATAGAAAATCATAAGCTGCAGGGGTTGGCCCTGGAAATCTACGATGTGCTACAACTCCCTTTGTGCTTCTAAGCTTTCCTGCATACCTAGGGCCTTGAGGAAAAAAAAAAACAAAAAACTTGTACTAAGTGCCTTGCATGTGCTAAGAGTGTACCTGGCTCTGGGAATATAACTGTCAGCAAAAGCAGACCTTGCTGGTGACCTCATGGCCTGCATGGTGTAGCAAGAGAGGTAGACAGTGAAATCACAAGACTAAAGGTAAGACCACAGCTGTGATAAGGGCAGAGAAGGAAAGGAACTTGGGAGAATGAGAGGGAGACTTGACTCAGTCCAAGGGATCAGGGAAACTTTCCTGAGGAAGAGAAGTTTGAGGTGAGATCTGAGGGAGAGGTAAGAATTTAGAAAATTAGCACTCCAGGCAGCAGGAACAGCATATGCAAAGGCCCTGTGGTGGAAGAAACAGGGGCAATCAGTCTAGGAAAGCAGTTAAGACCCGTGGTGGGAGACTGGAGAGCTGAGAGTGTGGTTTGGGCTGAGGCTGGAGAGGTAACCAAAGACTGGACCCTCACTGGCCTGCATCCTGTAGAACAAATTAGACAAGAGCGTGAGTGACTGCAGGACCAGTTAGGAGACATTGTGCAGATGATAGTAGCGTGGACTAATATTTGGCGGTAGAATTGGATGGCTTTGGGAGATGTTATAAGGAACAAGTGACAGGACATAAGGACAAGTAGGATGTAAGAGGCAGAAAGAGAAGTGTCAAGTTTGACACGCCAGTGCTGGTTTAGGATATGTGGTGTGGTCTCACCTGAGATGAGTACTTGGCCAGAGTGGCAGGTTTGGAGGAGTGGGGGCTGGGTGGAGTGGGGGGGGATAAGATTCCAACTTTAGTTATGTATTTGAGTTGACATTGTGATACATCCAAAGGTGGCTGTTGGATAAATGGAATGCAAACAAGAGGTGTGGGCTGGATATATAAATTTGGGGTCATTTGCATATGCATGTTAATTAGAGTGATTGGCTAGGGAACAAGTAAAGAATGGAAAGAAAAGAGGGCCAGAGACTGTCTTAAAGACAAAGGAGGAATATCATCACTAACGACTGGATGGAGGAGCGCGAAGCTGTGAAGGAGATAGAAAGGAAGCGGCTGGAGAGAGAGGAGGAACGCCAGAGGCACGTGGTGTGGTAGGAGCCGGGAGAAGACGGACACACGTTAGCTGTGCTCAGTGCCGTGAAAAGTCGAGTGAAAGAAGTGCAGAAAAATGTCCAGTGAGTTGAGTGATTCTGCCCACCCGGAGTCACTGATGACGTAGCGAGGACTGTATGGCTGGATTCTTTGGGGGTAGATGCCCATTAGTGAGGAGTGAGAAATTAGGAGGAAATGGGAACAGTGGGAATAAGTTTTCAAGAGGTCTGGCTGTGAAGTGGGGAAAAGAGGTAGGACAGGGATGGATGGTGGAGGAAATGTGCTTGTGTTGGGGGTGACATAAGCATAAAAAGCCAATGTCAAGGATCCAGTAGAGATCAAGCGGCAGAAAATATATGAGACAA